TGTATAGAAATGAGTGGGATTCCCCTCTGTATGCTATGAACATGTTTTATTACCATTTGTTGTGGTCTGACTGTACCCAGATGGTTTGGCCACCCTCAGTCTCCCTGACTGACAGCTGAACTTCCTTGTACCCTGTATTTGACAAGGATGTTTGTGCTCTTTCTGGTGTGTGGTGTTTTGCAGAAGTGTCCTTCTTGTACACGATGCCCTGACCTTGACCTCAGGTTCTGGCTACTCAGCATGGCTAGGGCAAGCTGCCTAAAGATATAAAAGGCTTAAGTTTGTGGCAAATAAAGGCTGCTCTTCCTCTTGCATGGAAGCCTCCATGTCTCAATTCTGGCACCCCCTGCCAGTCTTGGCATCCAAGCTGCACTGGTGCAGCAACCTTTGGTTAATAAAGAACCACTTTGGCCTATAATAGGGCAGAATATAGGTAGGCAGGAAAACTAAATTGAATGCAGGGAGAAAGAAGGCAGAGTCAGGCAGACGCCATGTAGTTGCCCAAGAAACAAGAGATAACAAACCACAAGCCTCATGGTAAAATATAAAACAATAGAAATGGGTTAATTTAGGATTTTAGAGTTAGTTAATAATAAGCCTGAGCTAATAGGCCATTAATATTAATGAATATGTTGTAATTGTGTTTCTTTGGGACTGATCAACTGTGGGACCAGGTAGGACAGAAACTTCCATTCACATAGAATTGTATCGTCTGCAAATAGAGGTTCTTTGACTTCTTTTCCCAATTGCATTCTTTTTATTTGCTCCTCTTGTCTTAATGCTCTAGCTAAGATTTCTAGTACTGTATTGAATAAGAGTAGGGTAAGTCGATACCCTTTTCTTGTTCCTGATTTAGCGTGAATGCTTTGTTTTCCCAAATTTAAAAGAATGTTGGCATTAGGTTTGCCATTGGTAACTTTTATTATGGTGGGACATGTTCTCTCTATTTTGTTTCCTTAGAACATGAAGAGATGTTGTGCTTTATGAGATGCCACCAGAAAGCAGGTTGGGTTGTCTCATCATTATCACCATTTTAAACATGTCTTATTGGACCATCTTGGCTAGTCTAGCCTAGAACTCACTGTGTAGACCAGGCTTGGCTTCAAACCCACAGATATTGACCTGCCTCTGCCTCCCAAGTGCTGGGATTAAAGTTACGTGCCACCATGCCCAGCCAATGGGACAGCTCCATATGCGAGTCATGCTGTATATTTAGGGGCTTCTATATGTTTTTCACTTCAACTGTGTTTTTCCATAAATGTAAAACAGACACAATGTACAAGGACCATAAGGTTTCTTCTGGTACAAAGCAAAGAAACACCAGCTTGGGACTCTGAGGATTTTACTTTGGTTCATTACAGTGTTTATGGAAGCCTTCGGGAATATGGCTGCGCTTTGCCTGTTTAATATCTTAATTGTGGTGTCAGCTTTGTGAATGTATAGAAATGCCAAACCTTAAAAAATTATACCCTAGCTGGATGGTGGTGGTGCGGACCTTGAATCCCAGCACTCAGGAGGCAGAGGCAAGCAGATCTCTGTGTTTGAGGTCAGCCTGGTCCACAGAATGAATTCCAGGACAGCCAGGGCTACACAGAGAGACCCTGTCTCAAAAAACAGGAAAAAAATGAAAGAAATTATACACTTGAAATATGTGCAATTATGTCATAGGCGATAAGAAAAACTAAACTACTTTAGTAGATAAGATTCCCATATCTTGTTTTCTGAGGCAGGATCTTCTATAGTAGCTCAGCTTGGCCTAGAGCTCACTGTGTAGCCCAGGCTGGCCTCCAACTCACAATCTTCTGTCTTCTATATCCTAAATGCTGGGATTATAGAGAGGTGCCACCATTTTAGGCCTCAGTTTTTAATTTCTGGTATCAGGTGTCTGGTTTCACACACACACACACACACACACACACACACACACACACACACATCCCAAGCAATTCTCCAATAGATGCCAACTGGTATTCAATACTTGATTCTACCTGACACTGTGTACCCAGTTAGAGTTCAGACACTATACAACATGAGGGCTTAGCCCCAGAGAGTGATCTCTTCATCCACCAATTAGCTGCTGGTAATCTGTACTTTTAACCAAGACATCTGACTTTCCATACCATCTCTGTTAAGCCTGGTTAATTTGCCAGATACACCAGAGAACTCAGGAAAATGCTTGGAATACTGGATTATTATATAAATAAAGGATATAAGGAAGGTAAATTTGTGAACAGCACTCCTGCAAGCAAGACGGGAGGCAGAGACCCGATGATCCTTGGAAGCTCATGAAACGGCTCGTGGTGTATTCAGTAGGGAACAGCAAAGAGACCCTGGCTCAAACAAGGTGGAAAGTGGGGAATGACGTGTGAGGTTGCCATCTGACCTCCACACGTGTGCTGTGGAGTGAGTGCATCTACACACACACTCTCACACACACACACACATCCACACACACTCACACATCCACACATTTTGGAACACTGTCCCTCAAGCACAATGTAGCCATAGCCATGTGTAGTCCAGGGTTCTCTAGAGGAACAGAAGCAATGTAAGTAATACAAATATTAGAGAGAGATTTATAGGCTGATGAGATGATCTGGGTAGTCCAACAGTGGCTGAGAATCTGGTAGTTGCCAGTCCATGAGGATGAATGCCTTAGCATTCCTTGTCTGGCGCTGAAGGTCTGCAGGATTGCTAGAGAGCCATATTGGAAGGCTAAAGAAGCAGGACTGTGATGTCAGCAAAGGGTGGCAGCAGCAGCAGCAGCAGCAACAGATGTGCCCATTAGTGAGAGATGAAAGCAAGAAGACAAACACCAGGAGGGTCTCTCAGCCCTCCTTACATCTGGGCCAAAGCTGAAATTGAGGATGAATCTTCACACTTCAATGAACCTGATCAAGAAAATCCTTCACAAGCATTGCCAGAGCAAACCTAACCTAGACAGTCCCTCACAGGTGTGCTCAGAGTATTGCCTCATGGGAGATGCTTGATCCTGTCAGGCTGACTGCAGTTATCAGTTATCTGCAGGGGGCGTCAATAGCTGAAGTCAGGTCAGCTGAAGTTCCCTCAGAGAAGGAGAAGTAGAGCGCACCATTAGACCCCTCTGAGATTCCGACTGCTCACCTGGGGTGGTCTGAAAGAAAACGGCCCCCAAAGAGAGTGGCACTATGAGGAGATGTGACCTTTGTTGGAGTAAATGTGACCTTGTTAGAGGAAGTGTGCCACTTTGGAGGTGGGCTTTGAGGTCTCATATGTGTTCAAGCCACAAGTAGTCCAGTGAGACAGACTACTTCCCATTGCCTGCAAAATGTAGGACACTAAGCTATTTCTCCAGTACCATGTCTTCCTGGTCTAAACATCAGAAACAGAAAGTTGGTGAAGATGTAATTGAGTACAGGGGTCATATTCTAGCCCCAGTAAGCAGCAGGATTTGTCAGCTTTAGCTGCATGGTTCCGGAGTTAAGGATAGAAGAAAGGATAACTGCATGGAATTTGTTGTGGCCCGTCCCCACACTGTGACTAAAGAAAGCTGGTGAGGTCAGACATACGTCAGGAGTGTCCCTGAATTGGGGCCCAGAGAGGCCATTTGCATGAAGCTGTGAAGTTGAAGCCTGGATTGTCTTTGAGAATCCAAGGTGTTAGAGATGCCAGAGTCATGGGATACCTGCCAAGGAGAGTTACCTACAGGGAGTGGAACCAGCCCAAGGGAAAGAAGTGTGTTGTAGTCAGATATCTAAACGGAATTGGAAATCAGACATGGAGGTGTAGTTTGGAGTTTGTCCAGCTGGTTTTCCGTCTTACTTTAGTCCAGTATTTCCTCACTGTGCTCCCTTTCCTCCTTTTAGGAATGGTAACGTATATCCTGTGCCATTGTATGTTGTAAGTATGTAACCTGCCTTTTGATTTTGATTGTACAGGGGATTACAGTTAAGAGGTTGCATGAATCTAAAAAGAGACTTTGAACTTTAAACTTTCAAATAAATTTGAGACTGTTATAGACTATGCGGACTTTTGGAGTTGGGCTGAATGCATTTTTGTATTTTGATAAGGTTACAAGCCTTTAGGGGCCAGGGGGTGAAATGTTGGCAGAACTTTTTGTCCCACCCCGTCCCTCAGGCGTTCAGTCCCAAAGAAACACACAGAGGCCTGCATTAATTATAAATTGGTTGGCCTATTAGCTCAGGCTTCTTATTAACTAGCTCTTCCACCCTAAATTACCTCATAATTCTTGTGTGTGTTAGCCACATGGCTCGGTACCTTTTATCAGTGAGGCATTCTCTTCTTGCTTCCTCTGTATCTAGGTGATGACTGCAGAATGAGCCTTTCCTCTCCCCAGAATTCTCCTGTTTTGGTTGCCCTGCCTATACTTCCTGCCTGACTACTGGTTAATCGGCATTTTATTAAACCAATACAAGTGACAATACAGGGTACAAGACCATTCCACAGTAGTGAAATGTGGTAGTTAGAAAGAAAGTAACCCCCAAAGAGAGTGGCACTGTTTTGGAGGAAGTGTGACTTTGTTGGAGGAAGTGTGTCACTGTAGAGGTAGGCTTTAAGGTCTCATATGTTCTCAAGCCACACCCAGTGTCTTATACCATTTCCTGTTGCCTGCAAGATGTAGGACTCTCAGCTACTTCTCCAGCACCATGTCTGCCTGCACGCCACCATGTCCCATCACAATGATAATGGACTGAACCTGTGAACTGTAAGCCACCCCATTAAATGTGTTTTTATAAGAGTTGCCGTGTTCATGGAGTCTCTTCACAGCAATAGAAACCCTAACTAAGGCATACCTGCTCCTGTCCCTTCCTTCCCCTGGCGTAGCTGTATGAAATTCTGCCCCAGCAGCATGTAGTCTTGGTATTGAGAGGTGCTAGGGCTTACAGGACATAAAAAGCTACCGCTATGGGAGGGAGGCCTCCGATTTATGCAGCTTTGAGAAGGGAAGTCATCACCTATTCTTGGCTGGGTCATTTGGTGGTACAACTGTTTGGGCTTACCTTTGTTACTGGGTGAGCCCCCCGAATTCACTGGTTCAACAAATTTGACTTGGGTGTCATTACTTGGTCTGTTGTTGGTGCCCTATAGGGAGACAGTGAAGAGATGTTTGCTTATGTCTCCCTGGGAGAAGTTTACCCAATAACTAGCATGCCAAGAACTTCAACTCATACTGCACATGAGTATAACCCAGGGGTCTTGTAAACACTTGTGTGTGTCTAGATATTTATACTCTGTCGCTAGAGATTTGGGGTGTATTGTCTGAGGTTGGTGCTTTAAGAATTTCCCAAGTATATTATAGAAAGTAATAAAAGAGTCCTTTAAGACTAAAAATAGAACAACTATATAATTCAGCTATACCACTCCTAGAAATATACTGAAAGGATTAAGCCAGTGTATTACAAAGGTACAGTAAGTAATTCAGGTTTATTTTGGCAGTTTTCACAATAACCAAGTTATGGAAGCAGCCTAGGCACCCATTAACAGGTGAATGGATAAAGAAAATTGCAGACAGAAACACACGTGTATATACACACATAATTCATCTACAAAAAAGGATGAAATAATGTTGTTTGAGAGAAAATGGATGGAACAATAGATTACTATGTTAAACAGAATAAGCTAGACTCAGAAAGAAGACAAATTCCAGACAGCTTTGTCTCATGTGTGGGGGATAGATAAAAGTAAATAAATAAGGGTAGAAGAGGAACTGTTTGGGCAGAAGAAGGTCACAGGGGAAGGGGACAGAGAAAGAGGGCAGTGAGGGGTAGTAAATGGTCAAAGTAGCTTATGCATTCAAGAAATGTCAGCAAAGCCAGGTGTGGAGGCACCTGCCTTTAATGCTGGCACTCAGAGGCAGAGACAGATGGATCTCTTCATGTTTGAGGGTAGCCTGGTGTATATAGCAAGTTATAAAACAGCCAGGGATACATAGTGAGACCTTGTCTCAAAAAACAAACAATACCAAAACATAGTAAAAAAAAAAAAACTATCTTGTGTAGTTAATGTATACACTAACAAAAAGAAAGAAAAGTCTTCCCAGGTGAGCCTGGTATATTCTCAAGGTTAAAACATTCTCAAGTGTAAATGGGACTGATTCAAAGCAAGTGTTAATCCTAAGCAAAAGTAATTTCAGAAGAATGAGAAAATTATATGGAAACCTTCTGTACAGAGATTGAATTTAGAGTAAATTAAGCATAGGCTTCAGGACCCCTCCTTTGCCCAGGCTCCTCCCTTGCACAGACCCCTCCCTTGCACAGACCCCTCCCTTGCACAGACCTCTCCCTTGCATAACCCCTTCTCTTGCACAGACCCCTCCCAAGGTTGAGAAGTCTATAGCCCTTCAATTTGGAATTTTCTCCCTAGAGCCTGGAGCCTCTTTCCCCTCTCTCCTCCTCTTCTTCCTCTTCTTCCTCTTCTTCCTCCTCCCTCCTCCTTCTCTTCTTCCTCCTCTTCCTTTTCTTGTCACCACATTGTGCCAGTTGGCCTTGAACCCCTGGCTTAACCAACCCTCCTGTCTTAGTCTCGGAGCAGCTGAGACCACAGGTGGACACACCACGTTCAGACATTTCTTTCTTCCAATCACAAAGGGACCTTTTGTTCTTAGAAGAGATAAGCCAGATTTCAGGATAAGGATTAAAATTATTTCCAAGAGAAGCTCTTTTGCCACTGATAGGCAAATGTTACTCTTGTTTTCCTGGAGTTGAAACCAACACCCAGAGATTGCATGGTGGGCTCAAATCTCACAGATCGGCAGAGGTATCACAGTAATGGACAATAACCATCCAGGAGGCCTGTCTCCTGCCCTGCTGCAGCACATGCATGCAGTCCTGAGCAAGCAGGCTGGTCTGTATTGGGAGCATGCACAAACTCCATTGGATGGTGCCTCTGACCTTGCAAAATTCATTACATCCTTTGAATCTTGTTCAAACACAGGTTGTTCTCTAACACAGAGATCCTCCTGCCTCTGCCTCACGAGTGCTGGAATTAAAGGTGTGTGCCACTATGCCCAGTGGTATTAGAATTTTGAAAAGTAAAAGAAAAGAAAGTATAAGAGACAGGTAAGGCAGCAATACGTCATTCTAAGAGCTCTATTCTGGGTTTTATTATAGGCAATAAGAACATTTTAAGGAACACAGCCCCATGGATGTTAATTCACATACCGCCTGAGAAACCATTCTCAAATCAAGATGACACATGCATCCAGAATTTTTTCACGCCTCTTTGAACAACCTGGAAAGTCCCTTGTCGGCTTGTCATTTCTCCTTGCCTTCACGCCAGCCCCACTGCCCTTAGCCTCGCGCAGATGCTTCCCGAGAGTTCGGACTGTTTGCACTTTGGACTCAAATGGCACCCGCTGCTTTTTGTTTGCCTTTTCACTTCACACAGTGCCAATAAGGGTGTGGCGAAACCACCAAACTAGACCACTCCGTGGGTGGAAAGAAAGGTTGATTTGGCATCACACTGCCAAGGCTTGGGGGCGGGGGAGACTGAAATGGCAGAGAAGCAAGCAGATTTGCTGTGACATTCAGCAGGGTGGGGTCTTTGAACTGAGGCTGGGTGTTCTGATAGACTGGGACTTAAATGTTCTTGTCCGAGGTAGATTGACCTTTGGGGTGGGATTAAGGGAGGTCCCTGGTAAGCCACAACCCACCTTTAGGCTTTGTTTATGTCCTGTTCAGAACATCGTCACTAGCATCACCCTTGTGGTTGGCCGCCTTGGTCCTAACAGTTACTTTGAGATTTACCTATGTCATGGGCCTGAACAGTTTCTTCATTCCCTTTTGTTCCTAAAGCGTGTTCCCTCGTATCCTTTCAGCCTTGGAGAGACATTTGGATGACTCCCAACTCGAAAATATCACCAAAATATCTGCTTTGAGCATGTGTGTATCGGCAGGCAATGTGCAAGTGCTTCCTTGGGCAAACACCTTGAAGTAGATGGGTGCGGTCATGTGATAAGCTACTTTTCATGCTGGTAAAACCGGGAGAGATAGCTCAGAGGTGAAGAGAGGTGGCTGACCTACACACCCAGCGCTCTCGTTAGATTCTTCTTACCAAGTACTAAATTCTGGTCATTCCCAATTTTAAAAATACCACATTTGTTTCTCTCTTATGTGTATGTGTGGAGCATGAATGTACTTGAGCCTCATGCCTGCCTCACTTCCTCCAACAAGGCCACACCTCTTAATAGTGCCACTCCCTTTGGGGGCCATGGTTGGGAGCTACAGATCCCGGGGCCCCTTGATTTTCTTTGCCTGCTGGAGTGAACTGAGCCTGAGACCTCACCTGCAGTGGCTCTGAGCACGAGACCCTGAGGGCAGGCTGATGAGTCTGCAATTGAAAGATCCCGAGAGCTGGGCGGGGCTAAGGATCCCTGTATCAGCTGCCCCTGAGCACAATAAAGGGGGCATTTGGCACTCTTGTATCAAGGATGACCCGCGTCCACGTCTCTCTGTCTCTGACTCTGTGTTTGTCTGTATGTTTTTAAGTCCCAGCTTAGTTCCTGGCTGGCGTATTGGTCCTGTAGTGGCATGGAAGCTACAGGACCGTCTTCGTTCAGGTTTTTACAGGTCATTTTCTTTCAAACTACCATACCCTGGTTCTGGGCCTGGGTGGTTCAGTCTGCCAGCTCTCCCGGAGTGAGCTCTCCTGCACCACCTGAGTTAGCTCACCCCATGCAGCAAGCAGCAAGGGACAGGGTCCGGTTTCCTGCTCTCATGCCCTCAGGGCAGGCTCATCAGTACCCACACCACCAGAGCCAGCTCTAGTGTGTTGCCCGGCAAGGTGCAGGGGCCTCTCTGCTGCAGCTGGTGAGAAGCAGGGCCAGCTCTCCCACCTACTATAGGTAGTAGAGGAGGAGAATGGGCATCTCCCCCTCGATCATGGCACCATATGGCAGATGAGGGGCATCTCATCCTCATGCCTGTCAGCAGGGTCAGCTCTACTGTGCTGCCCAGGTGAGGTGCAGAGTCTGATTTCCTGAGTGCTGCAGCCCATGAGAAGCAGGTTCTGTTCTCCCTAGTGTGGCATCCAGTAGAGGCAGGACCAACTCTGTGCAGCCCTATCCTCTCCACCTTGGGTGATAACAGAAGCTACAGACATCATCACAGACCACAGCTGTGGCCCGAACATCATCATCACCATGGCCACTAGAGGCAAGCAGGCCACCCATCTCAGCCGGCTCCTCACCACCTTCACCCCTCTTCAGATCTTTCTCCCTCCATAGGACATGAACCATTCTGTCTCACTTCCTTTTCTGTACCCTGCCCCATCCTGTATTTGCTCACCGTAATAAAACCCAGCTGGTGCTGAGTAGACCCACGTTGTCCCCTCCCAGCCTGGGATGAAGAGTCCAGGACGGGTATGTGGGTCTCGGTCTCCTGCTCAGTCTTAATCCCCAGATACAGTTTCTAATCAATCTCTTCCCTCATTTCCTGATCTTCCACTCATTCCAGACCGTTCCATCTGGCTTCTGAATCCTCAACCCAGCATGATCTCTCTTTAGTGACCTCCGTGTGAGATCCAGGGGACGTTTTTCAGTTCCTGTAGGACCTAATATCTCATTTGACTCTTATTCGTGTCCTCCTTTCAAAACACTCACTTTCTGAGGCTTTCGTGATCAGTACTTCCGAGGCTTGCTGCTTCCATCCTGGGCCTCCTCTGTGTACTCATCTTCCTCTATAGCCACACTAACCATCTCGCAACCTCTAGGACATGGCTTCTGCTGCATACTGTTCCTCCCTGTCTGGAATGTTCTCTCCTGCCTGCTTTGCCTGGCTAACTAGTCTGTTCTCTCCCCACTCCCATTCTCCTGTCCTTGGGGAAGCCTCTCTGTGAGAGCACACGTCTTTATTAGCTATTCCATCATAGCTCTTGGTGCGGCTACAACTTTGCCTTCTGCTGTGTGACTAAATGAGCCGCCCCCTCCTTCACACAGGAAGCCCCACGGAGAGACACTGTTTTTCTCTCGATTGTATTCCCTGATGCCGTCCTGTCTCCCACTCCCACCACCTAGTGTGTGCTCCAACTGTTCCTAATCAGTGGAGCCTTTGCCTGGCAGGTGTGAGATCCTGCATTCAGTCCCCCGCACCAGCCAACCACCACCACCACCGATTAAACATTTCTCTATTAGATGATAAATGTGTAGTGTGCTGACACAACGGCCTTCTGCTTACTGTTTGTCCTCCTCCAGTGCCATGAGAGTCGGAGACACATCTGTATTTTTACTTTTAAACAGCTGCTGTTTGTTTTGTTTCTTGAAGCAGGATGTCTCAGCCTTTGAACTCAACAGCCCCCTCTTTGGTCTCCCAAGTGCTAGGAATGCAGGTGTGTGCCACTCCTGCATATTTATTTCGGCCACTGTGATGTATGCAGGTCCTAACACGTGATGCACAGCACACAGTAGATGCATAGCACACAGTAGGATGTGTAATAAATTATTTTTTTACATTATGAATGTAAGAGTAAGTGAAGAGTAAGAAGTGCTCTGTGGGAGAGGGGCTCGGAGCTCTGCCTGCTGTCGGAGTGTTTGCCAGAGTTTTGCTGTTTGTTCATTTGTTTATTCATATTTCGTTTCCTTTTCCAGTGGTGGGAATTGAATCCAGGGCCTTGTACATTTTAGGCCCGTACTCTATCATAGAACTACTTCTTATCCGTTTTTACTCTTTTAAGATATTTCTCATCATAATAAAAACAAAAATAACCTTCATTGCCTTCAGGGGCGTGTCTTTGGGACTATACTGTCTTTCCGTTTGTCCTTTCATGAGATGGGTCATGTCTGCAGTGGGCTCCCTCCCTGTGAAGATCTTGAGTCTACACACTTGCCTTCATTGGCCCTGTTTAGCTGAAGTCACTGTTGATGTGCCCTTGGCTAAACTGGACCACACACCTTTCCTTCTGTAAACATCAGAGTTCTGATCGAATCTTAGTGCCAAGAACCCTCTCTGCTTATGTTATTTAGCAAGAAAGCTGGGCCCAAGTGACCGCGAAAGTGACTTATGTCTGCTGTGGCACATCTGTTCTGCATTTGACAAAGCAGTTGAGGGAAAGGGGAGTTTAATTACTTTGTTTTGTCTTACTTTGTTTTGTGTTGTTGAGATAGGATAGCATGTACCCTCAAACTCCATTTGCTACGGAGAAGGACCTTGATCTGATTCTCTTGCCTGAGTGCCATCTACCTTGAGGTTAGATGTCTGCAAAATGATTTCTTTCTTAGTAATTTACAGGCTTATATTTTTATTTGAGAATACTTTTAGCTGCCCCTGACTAGTGTGTGCCAAGCTGGTCTCTTGGTGCCCCCAAAGCTCTTCAGGAAAAAGGAAGTTTGGTGTCCAGCAATGGCCTTTGATGGAGTGGCAGCGTCGTCTGGCACTGAAGACCTTGGATCTGGAATCTAGAAAGCTGGGAGATCTGAGTCCACTGTCTCTCATTGTCTTCTTCAAAGTCCAGCTGGGTTTCTCCCCCCTTGATCCCCACTTGCTCAGATTTGCATAGGTGCAAGTACCTGCCTAGTCTCCACGTCTGGCTTGGAAGGGTACAGCAAAGAACTCTGTCTCTGTGTCCTCGGGGTTGCCTGTAAACTACCACATTTGTATGAAGTGACGCTCTGCTGTTCCTGGTGCTAATTTCCACCCAGCGTATGAAATTTGCCAAGCACTTACTGTGGGTTAGGCACCAAGCTACACTCTGTAAGACGTTGAAAGTCCAAGAAACTGGGTGCAGATCTCACAGTGAGAAACAGTGGACTCTGAACTCCAAATTCAGCTTCCTCGGTTTCGACTCACGGTCTGAAGCTCCAGAAGACCCTGCCCCTTCATCAGTGGTCATTGCTGGACACCAAACTCCATTTTTTTCTGAAGAGTTTTGGAGGCTCCAAGAGGCCAACTTGGCTCACACTAGTCGGGGACAATTAAAAGTATTCTCAAATAAAATTATAAGTCTGCAAATAATTAAGAAAGAAATCATTTTGCAAGCAGCAGGAAATGACGATTTGTAGAGCCCTACTTTAACACTGGAACATGCTCTTAAATACACAGCTTGCGGCTATAAAAAGCCACTAGACAAAGATTGCAGAAGCATTAAAAAATCAAATTGCCTTATAAATTTTTAGTGACTTGTAAATGACACTCTGTCACCTCTGGGGAGATCCTTTCCAGAGGCTCCAAGACTCTTGGTGACTGGGATGAATGAGTTAACTTCCAAAATAGTCATCCTCTATGGGGGTGCGGGGTGGGGGGCAGAACCACCTCATTTTAGGACTTAAGCTTTATTTGCTAAAGTATCTAACAAGCTAAACTAAAGGCAAAAGGGCCTGGATTGTAAGTCAGGGGAAGAGTGTATGCAGAGCATGCTTGAGGTCCTAAGTGTTTAGGTGGAACCTCTGCTTTGCCCCCTCCGCCTCCCCTCCCGCCTCTCCCTCTCCCTCTCTCCCTCCCGCCTCTCCCCCTCCCCCTATCCCCCTCCCCCTCCCCCTCCCGTCTCTGCTTCTCCCTCTCTCCCTCCCCCTCCCTCTCTCACCAGA